GCGCAGATAGCCCTCGTGTAGCTTTGCGCGAAAATTCAAAAGAAAGAAACAAACAAACAAAAGAAGTTGACCTCCTCGTGTTAGAAAAATAAAATACAGCCACTCAAGATGTGACCTTGACCTCCATGTGTTGGAAGAAAAAACACGAATCACTTGAGGTCTTACGTTTATCTACGTCAATAAAAATATGTTGCTTGTTTAACTAGCACTGTTAATCTTAATAATACCTTATCATTGTGGGTCTAATCAAATCATTGAGTTCCGAAGTATGTTGCTCGTGCTCACAATCCGAGAACAGAGAGGGATAAAACCATTTTTTGATGATAAAACAGAAATATTATACTTAAATGGAAAATAAACAAGAAAAACATAAGAACTTCGTAATAAAGACCAAACGTGTAAAGTACCAAAAAAAAAACAGCAAAGTAAAAAGTAACTAGGATATGAAAACAAAGAATGAATTAAAAATTGCAGAGAACTTTTAATTTGATAAAAAACGTTTATACTCTCGCAATATTAAACCCCAGTGTCGTTCCTATTAAGACGAACTGTATTAGATAAATAATATTTCATGTAATTAAACATTAATCAGAGAGCGCGACAACGATAGGGTTAGTTATAACCCAAAGTACTAATCACGGTCTTTGATCAGTGAGAAATTATACATATTATATGTAAGTAGATAATCTACCGTATATTCCTTAATTATACGTGTTATATGGAAGTAGATGGTCTACCGTATATTCCTCAATTATACGTGTTATGTTGAAGTAGATAGTCTACCGTATATTCTTCAATTATACGTGTTATATGGAAGTAGATAATCTACCGTATATTCTTCAATTATACGTGTTATATGGAAGTTGATATTCTACCGTATATTCTTCAATTATACATGTTATATGGAAATAGATAATCTACCGTATATAATCTACCGTATATTCTTCAATTATACGTGTTATATGGAAGTTGATAGTCTACCGTATATTCTTCAATTATACATGTTATATGGAAGTAGATAGTCTACCGTATATTCCTCAATTACACGTGTTATATGGAAGTAGATAGTCTACCGTATATTCCTCAATTATACGTGTTATATGGAAGAGAAATGCCCATGTAGGGAATTACATTTATATTCGTTTGAATAAATACATGTTCTCTTTATTCGTTATTCCAAAGTCCTGCACGTGGCGAACAGTTCTATATGTATGTTTCACACTAATCGAGAACATTTACATAAATATCCTATCAATGCTGTCGTATCAGTTTAAATCTAATGTGGATTTCTTAGTCTAGAATTAGGTGGACTTATTAAATGCTTATTCTTAACATATATATTAACTGGTCAGAGGTACTTAGAACTATCTCCATCATGTATGCAGTAGCGATCTAACTCACACAGAAAGACATTTTTCGCGAAATAATTTAACGAATTATGTAGTAGTCTATCGAAGATAGTTTGTATATTTGCATAATTGTACATAAATTTTGATGAAGTATATCTGGGTGCTTTTTACGCAGTAGTGAGCAGTGAATTTTGTATTGGGTGTAGTTTATTGGTGTGTTTGTATTTGATGTATTTATAAATAACCCAATACAATTCAAAATTTCTTACCCTTGAGCAAGTCTATATCTCAACACAAAGACCACGGTGTTTATGTTGTCAGAGCGGGTATAAATTTAGATACTAGACTCACAGAACATAAAAAGGATGTTAACAGTGGTAAAAAATTGTGATATTTTCTACACACGAAAAACCGTGATCATAAAATCAACTGAAAATCATTTAAAATAATACTGAAATCTAGAAATAATATCAAAATAAAAAATGTAAAACTCGCTAATCCAAAGGTTACCTTAGCTAAACACATTTGAAGGTCACTTTAAACTGAACCACTTTCTGACGTAACACGCCCTGAGGCAACTTGGAGCTTCCAAAGTACTTCTGTGTTATAATATTTTGGCACTTGTGTATAAAGTTAAAATCATAACTAATATTCAACGTTAAACTGGTACACAATTAAAAACATTCTATTTAGGCCTATCTATGGCCTTCAAAAAGATTATGACTCTACATG